AACCTCAAGTTTTTGGATTACTTTAATATTGACACTTGTTAAGGATTATTTTATCATCAGTGTTTCTTGCCAGATGTGATGGTGCGGGCCCATAATCTCAGCTACTGAGGTTGAGACAGGCAAATTATGAGTTGACCAACTGAACAACTTAGTAAGACCCTATCTCAAAATAAAATTTAAAAAGGCACTGGACGTAGTGTCATACATCTTTAATCCCAGCACTTGGGAGGCAGAGGCAGGTGGATCTCTGTGAGTTCCAGGCCAGTATGGGCTACACATATCGAGTCTCAGGACAGCCAGAGCTACATAGGGAGACCCAGTCTTGAAAAAACATTTTTTTTTTAAAGGCAAAATTTGTTGCTCAGTGGCCAAGCATCTGGTCTGCATGTGCAAAGCCCTTGGCACAATCACCAGTACTGTGAAAAAGAAACAAAGGAGAATCAATATTTCTCTATACTGCTGAAAAAAAGATTTCAAATCCCTCTAGTAATATTTGTAGTTGTACTTTGAAAAATTAATGACAGTAATAGACTGCTTCCAGAAAACTTGATTTTGGCTTATCGTTTCCAAATGGCAGACAGCATCACTACCTGGAGTTACGGCAGGGAGAAGGGAGTGTTAGAGAAGATTCAGCATTTTCTCATGCAGCGAATCTCACACTTCATTATCTCCTTGGTGCACAGAGAGCTGCCAAAGCCTTGGAAAAACATTCGTCTTAAACAGTCACGTTATTCTCAATCAAACAGGAGTTGTTGCACAGCTAAAATATGCCCTCTTGATTTGGTCCATACCCAATTGTGCAGAGATGTTGGATTTGGTACATGCCAAATAAAAATTAAGTTTAAATGTTTTCAACTCGATGTAGTTTACGATGTCCCCTTCTCTCACTCAGATTCTCTTCCGAGCTTCTCAAAGGTCTTTTGCATTGGGGGCAACATAAATTAGTGTGCAACAAACCGAGGCGGGGTGCTTGAGATGATGTACATGCCATCTGCAGAAAGCAATTCTCTTTTCAGTCCCAATTCTGACCACCTGAGCTCTGAGAGCAACCCAACTACCCAGAATGAAATGTTCTCCTTATTTCATTAGCCTCAGAGAAAATCTCATCATGAAGAAGCCTAAAATACAGCAGCGGCAGATGATATGATTAAAAGCAGTAGTAACAAGTCAAATAAATCTGCTGGAATGGCATTAACTTCAAGTGAAGGACAGAACTTTATTGAAGTGATTTATTTGAATCCTCAGTATCTGCTGAAGTATCATCAAAACTCTAAGGGGAAGAAAATCGTATGTTTTGACGCTGCGTGCCTGTATACTCCTTTACATCAGCTTTAGTATTATTATATTTGGACAAATTATATTTGATTGTTATTGATATTCTGCTACCCTAATCTAAGAATTTAAATCTGAACTTCGGACACACAAATAAACTAGTGCTAAACATAAACAAACTCCCTAGAAAGTAATCCCTGCCCCCAACAGTCCCAAGCTCAGCCTCTTGGCTGTCATCATGTAGTTATCATAAATGGCTTCCTTGTCACTTAGTATAAAACAACCTCATGCATACACTTTCAAATTATGAGTCAACATAGTAATTTCATCCTTTCTCATCTGGAAAAATACAGCAAGGAAAATAGGTATCATGAGGAAAAATACAAGGTCCATTACAAGAATCACTGCTCACACTCTTGACTGTCACAGCTACTATCTCTCAGGAAGCCCTGTGTGAGAGAATTTAAGTAACAAATTTGATACCAAACATTAAAAGATATCCATGGAACACCACTGACCATTAAAGGTGTGCCAAGAGTTTCTAAGAATTACAGGGCTGGGAATATAGCTCAGATGGGAATGCTCACAATGCACAGCTGTGCAGAAGCTGCGGACGCTGGGCATGCTGGGTCACGCCCGTAATCTCCGTGTTTGGGGTCGCATCTAAGATGACTCAGGTTTAGACAAGTTAACAAGACAAGTTAACTAAGGGCCCGAGTTGACCGCACTGACTGGACTCTAACTCCACGGCCCACGCCATGAACCACTGCACGTCATGTGCTGTGAACAGCACAGGAGCACACGGGTGTCTGTTTACAATTTCTGAAAATGTTCCTGAGGACTGGACCTTTCTGAAGGACAACTTCCCTCACTGCTGTGGAGCATTAACTCTGGGGTTTAGCTTGTCTCAGCTAATCCGAGGACAATCTGAGCCAGTGATTAAGTGTGCCTTTACTTACTCAGTCAAGTGTGGACTTCATTCATCATCAAAATGTGCATCACTTCGAAAATAAAAGGCTCTTCTATATTCTTACAGCTGTCTATTCTCAAAACAACTAGCTTCTCTATGACCACAGGACATCAGCAGAGATTCAGAACAAGGTGAGAACCTGTGTCTATAGACAGCAGAGGCTTGTTTTGAGTAGCTCTCCTAGAATCGTGTAACTGTGGTCTTCAAACATGCTCGTACTTAAGTAATATGGAAAAGAAAAGTCTAGAACCAAGTCCTTCATGCCGGAGTGAACCACAAACATTGTTCTCTGATGAAAAAGCCAAGAATGAGGCGTTGTCAGAAAGGTAATGGCCCAGCCATGCTTATGCTTCAAATAAACAATGGAGCATCAAATGGGTTCGGCTGATCTCAAATTCAAACACAACATAACCTAAAATAAAAAATGTATCTAAAAATGTATTAATAGGAATCTGAATATTTGAGGCAAGCAAATAAATGACCTCCTTTTGGGGGTACTTAATGATTACATTCTCTTTCTTTTGTCAACCTGAATAACCAAAAGGTGTTAAATCCACAGACTTTTGGAGCGGTGGAACTCGAGAGACTGGAAAGAGACCAGGTTACTCCACGTCAATACAGTGAGTGAGTGTCTGACGTCATTAATAAGTTGGCCTGAAGAATAGTGCACTATGCTAGCAGGCCTCTGGGGCCAGCCTCTCCACAGGCAGTAGGAACAGCATGCAATGAACAGATCCTGCAAAGAGATAAGCAAGGGTCCACCTTCTCTAATGAAGTGACTGCTGCTTGCTTGGGGACCTTAAAAGATATGGACTGGCCGGGCAGTGGTGGCGCATGCCTTTAATCCCAGCACTCCGGAGGCAGAGCCAGGCGGATCTCGGTGAGTTCGAGGCCAGCCTGGACTACCAAGTGAGTTCCAGGAAAAGGCGCAAAGCTACACAGAGAAACCCTGTCTCGAAAAACAAAAACAAAACAAAACAAAAAAAGATATGGACTGGTGTCACCAAAACAAGTGTTGTTTCTAGAAACTAATATGAACAATTCCCTCATCATCTATAAAAGAAAATTTATGTTTAATATAAATTTAAAGGTATTCTGAAGGATGCAGTAAAAGCTAATTTAAAAATATTTAACATCTCAAATCTTAATTTTAATGAAACAGTGTCTATATGCTGATTCCAGAAACCCATAAAAGGTTCCGGAAAATATGGATGATAGAAAAATGCAGACTGCTTCAAAATGTGTGTGCCTTCCTTGCACAGAGGCCATGGTGTTAATCTCTGCATCATTCCGATTTCAGTATATGTGCTCCTGAAGCAAGTGGATAATGGTTGATTTCCAATCTTTGCTCAACCAAAATAGTACTTGGGAGTACTAAAAGCCTAGATGACTGGTGTTTACTGCCTACCGTGGTTGAGTGTCAGGGCTATAGATTCCAGGGCTTCCGGGCACTTCTCATCTCTTCTCCTCACTCCTTGATGTAAGGATCTCTTTGGAAGGCAAGTCTTTTTAAAAACATGCAGTTATAAATGAAGAGTGAGGGACTCTGAGCAGTCCCCAACCATTTGTCCTGCCACAATGAGAGTCACGGGCAAGACATTCTCATGTGATTGGCCATCAATCAACTCTCTTTTCTTTCTAAAAGTTTTGGAGTGCTAAGGCCCAAATCCAGGGATTGTTCATGGTAGGCAAGCACTCTATCATGAAGAGCTTAGCCCTGTTTCCTCTGGCTAGCACTTGTTTGTACCTTAGCTATTCTGAAACAAAATTCCCAGGATCTGAAGCATTGAAATGGGCTTATCAATTAATTATTTTGATAAAATTTGAAGTATTTGTTTGTTTCAGAATACGGTCAACGCCACAGTTATCTATGAAAGATAGTGTATTCCACCAATCCCAGGGTGAATGGTTTGGAGAACTACTGAATGGGTACCCCATTTTAACACAGGAGCAGAGGGGAAATGCACTGTAAAGAGTACCCTGTGGTCTTCACTAATTATAGCACCAGTCACTCCAAATCAAGTGATGCTACTATTTAAGTTGAATTTATATTTTTATTACAACTAATTATCAAAAATGCAAGAGTAGTTTTAAGTGAATAAAATTTAAAAATGTATACCCTATAGCTAAAGAGTGAAAGCATCTGAAGGTCAGTGTAAAAAGTATTTGTTCTGAGTGTCCTTAGAAATCTCTACATCTGTATATTCTTCCCACGTGTTTGATTATTTTCCCAAGTTACAGTTATTGCCTGATTCAAAAGGGCAAAATAATGAGATCTAAATATGCCACCAATTTCCTCTTAAGCCATTTATTTTATTAAGCAAAGAGCAACGAGCAACTGCTTGTTTGCATTTATTAGGAAATTTGAAAGAAAAAATAAACCTATTCATTTAAACTGCCTTTCATTTCTATGCTAGATTAGGAACGAAACAACCCAAGCAATCCTAACATTTAAATGACCAATTATTAAAATCGGCTGTAGTGCAAAGACTACAGCTAGGTTTCTGGTCCTTCTGTGTTAACAGCTACTGAGAAAACTTCCTTTTGAATTATGCTGGGTTTTCCATTCTCAAGGACTGTGCAGTGTTCGAATTGTCATATTAGAAATGAAGCAGGAAATTTAAAGTGACAGGGATGAACTGTTCTGGGGGGAGGGGTGGGGGAAGGACAGGGGCATGCACTGAACCTTTGCCTTTGAAGCATTAATATGAATTCCAGAGCAGTGATTAATTGAAAGCACATGCTGCTGAGTCAGTACCTGCCAGAAATCCTGATCAGAAGAAGAGAAAAAGGAAAAAACAAATGACATTGATTATAGGAACAAAACTCCCCAAATCAAACACATATAGATCACAAAACACAACACATAAAGGAACAATTAAAACCTGCAAAATGATCACCGAAAACCTGGAAACAGAAGAATGAAGAACATATGCAAATGTTATAGACATTATCCACTAGGCACACTAAAACAAGGATCTACAACATGACCTCCCAGCACCACACCACCCAGCCGCAGGACAGTCACACTCTCCAGAGAGAACACACGAATCACCATGTCTTCCCTGGGTCAGTCAAGGCATTTCTGGATTGAAGGTTTCCTATTATGATGCCTCACAATTTTAGTGATAGGTGTTTTTCAACTTCATGGCAAATTGCTTGCTTTGCCATTCATACTCACACACAGACAAGCAAATCTAGATGAGTTCAGAGGATCGGGACTGTTCACTGGAGCAGTTCAGAATGGAACATGTACCCTCTGTTATGTCCCACTGCATCAGGGCTGTCCTTGTGTATGAAGGCCCAACATGTGGCTGTCATCTTGGGGAGTAGTTCAGGTTAGTTAATTTAGCTGAGCTCCACTCCAAATATCAAGTGGTTAAAAAAAAAAAAAAGCTTTTTTACATAAGTAAACTTCATTGGCTGTGAAATAAAATTTGACCTAAACTTACCATCATTTTCAAACCAAGCTCAGTATCATTACAAAAGTTCTTGGGTGAAAAACAGGAGCTACCAGTGATTTACAGGCCTGCAGTGGGGACTGATGAGGCCGAGGCCCAGCGGATTCTACAGCAAAGAGGGAGGAACTCCTGTGAACACAGAGCACAGGTCTCCCTTGGGTAAACGGAGGACCTATATAAAACAAGCCAGGCAAAGACAGCACAGCAGACTTTTCCAGATGCCTGAACTGAGAACAGTTATGCGCAGTGGATGGTGCCGCTAAAACCCAGAAGGATAATGCACACAGTACTAGGTGGCGCTTCCATAAAGGAAACATGCTTATAGACTAGCAAAACAGCCAGGAGCAGGCAAGCCGCTCCACCTACTGTCCCAACCCTCTGGTAAGGTCAGAGACAAGAGGTCAACAGCGCTTTTACCCATCAACCGTGCGGCAGAGCCCGTGTCTCAAGGATGGCATCATCATCTGAAGTCCACACTCTTCTCTGCTACACACCATGTGCCACTGTGACGTACAAGTCATGGGACTGCATTTCTCACCCCAGTTCAGCATGCTTTGTAACATCTACTGACCACTTTCTATCCAATGTGGGCACAGATGTCATGGAAAGAAATGCCTTGGAAAATAAGGAGTTCACAGGGCAAAGCTAGATTTATTATTATTATTTCTATTATTATTATTATTATTTTGGTGATACTGTGTGGAAAAATAACTGAAGTTAATTTGTAAGAAAAAAAATGAAAAAGGATTTTGAAAGTGATTTTAAAACCTTTGAATGGGAAAGATGGTAAAATAAAACAAAATTTTAGTGAGTGTCAAAGAATTAACTTTTTTCCCCTTTTGTGGGAGGGATTGAACTCAGAGCCACACCCATGCTGAAGTCCATGTTCTACCACAGAGCTTTACTGCCAGCCCAAAGGATTTCCGGAAATGCTGATGCAGCACCTGAATTTCCTATAATAGTTTAATTACATTCTGAACCTCTGGTTCATAAAAAAGGTTAACATAACCAGTGCTTTCCAAATGGTGCTCCATCTGACACAGAGTGAATCATTACCGGGAAGAAAAAAAAAAAAATCCTGGTTTGTTCATAACAGAAACAACATTTTACTCAAATGGCCTGACCACAGTCAGCAGAGAGCCAGTGTCTCAAGTACACACTACATTGATCACTTCAAGAGGGACAAGATCAATACAAAGACAGTACTTTCCAAAATGCCAGCTGATCATACCATAACATGAGGAACACAGAACAGTAAACTTGATTCTAGTTTCTAAGTCCAGCTATTAAATTTGTGTACCTCACATTTTCTTTCCTCAAATGGAATGTTTTTTTTTTCCCCCATTTATTATTGGTTTCCAACTGTGCTTTATCTGGGAGGTAGAGGCAGAGTAGCTTAAACAGAGATTCAAGAGCAGACTGGGCAATCCTCTGAAACTCTGCCTCAAAACCCAACACACCCAAACTTCAAACCAAACCCACCAAACCAAAACTCATCATCACCCACAAAAGGGCAGAACACAACCTCAACAACTCCCCCCAACAGAGAGTGAAAGAAGCATGGGCCAGGGGTGGGGTGGGGAGGGGTGGGGTGGGAAGGGGGGTAGAGGGTGGGGGTGTTGGTGGCTTTTGTTCCTTTTTACAAACAGTAATAAGGCAAGAATATTCAATGAGAAAAAAGTCCTATGATGAGCCAGCCTCCCTCCACCTTAGGCTTGAAAGCCAGCATACAGTAAAGACAAACTGGGGTCTCTCCTGTTTATGATTAAACCTGTTTCTCAAGGGCTGGGCTACGCCCCACCTGTAACATTAGCTACAAATGGCTCTGTACCGCCTGCTCCAGGACACGGCAACCATGCCTTTGTTTCAGGAGGTTGTCTTGGCCACTTGTTGTTGTGACCAGCTTGTTATGACTACTTCAGGACTACCTCGCAACACCTTAGTCTCAAAAGGTTGCTGTGGTCACTTCTGCTTCTGTAACCTCGCCTACTCTGCCCACCAAATCCTCCTTTGGGAACCCCCTACGCTGAGATATAAAAACCTTGTTTTCCTCATGTCCAAGGCTGACTTCTTGAACCCCACTGCAGGAAGAGGCAGCCCGTGTACATGAATAGGAAAGCTTGTTTTAATTAATTGCTTGCTTTAATTAATTTTGTCATGGTGATTTGAGTTGGTCTTCCTCCTCGCGTCTTTGGGATTAACACTATTTACATACAGGTCACAACTTACAATACCTTGGGTACTTGAGAAGTGGGATAATGCACTCAGGATGGCTGACTGCACCCTGCTGTGTGACTTGTCCAGTGACCTAGCTTGCCTGTCCTCTTTTCTTAACCTGTAAGATGTAAAATGCACTGCCTAAGCAAGGGATGGCCCAGATGACATGAGTACTTATGTGTCAGCACTTATATGCCCGGCATACAAAAACCAGGCAGAGACCCGACCACTACCTTTTCTTTTTCCTTCTTCCTTTCTTTTTCCTTTTGCCTTTGCTTTTTTTGAGACAGAGTCTCATCATGTACTCTTTGCTGGCCTGGAACTCACTATGTAGACCAGGGTGGCCTGGAACTCTAAAAGCAACCTGCCTCTGCCTCCTGCCTCCTGGGATTAAAGACATATAAGGCTACTCTTGACCCAAACATTTTTATTTAGAGATTTCATTTTCAACTAGAAAGATACACCACTGACAACCAGTCAGTGAATATGTTAATGGGTTTTTTTTTACAAAGCACCAGGTCATCACCTTATTAGGTCTCAAAGAAACTCAGGACAAACGGCTAACTGAGGTGCCTGCTTAATGTATCAAAGCGGACACTGGCCGCCAGTGTCCCCCAGGCCCTACTCACAAGTGCCTGTCACAGAGTCACCCCGCTGGCATACCTCACCCCTACCCTAACTCTGCAGCCCTGAGCTTTGCTTCCTTTCCCGGCTTCTCTTTTCCTGGAAAACCCCACCAGTTCCGCTAGACCTCCTCGCGGTCTCCTGGCTCCCTCGTGGCTCTTCTCTTGACCTCTTGGTTCTCCTGGTTCCCAGGTCCTCTCTTTGCTCCCTCTCTTCTGTCTCACTTTCTCACTGCCTCCTCTACCCATGGCCCAGTTCAGACTGGGCCCTTCCAGCTGCCTCTGTCTGTGCTCTCCCTCATATCTGCAATAAGCCTCCTCCATCATACCTTGGAGCAGTCATGTCCTCACTTTTCATTTATACCCCAATAATATCTAACTGAAATATCTGTGGGAGCCTCAGCCTTCAAGAAGCCGGCCATTCTGTCTCAGTCACTGTTTGGGAATCTAGTTTTTCTTTTTTTCTAAAGTTTCCTTATTGTAAAAGAAAGAGAATATAAGTAATACATCCTATTATTAAAGATGGCATTGGTGGGTAAACAAAAATACAAATCAGAAGCAAAACATTAAAATTCTGCCTATTTTATCTGTATTTAGCATCACTAAGACCTGAACACATATTAATTAACAAAATTTGAACTTGATTGATTTTAAGTTATCAAAGGTAGGAGGGTGAGAATATCAAGGTCAACAATTGACAAGTGGAACCTCATAAGACTCTTCTGTACAGCTGAGGAAATAATCAACAGAGTGAAGAGGAAGCCCACAGAGTGGGAGAGGATCTGGTGACATATTGTAGTGGTTTGAAAGAAAATGGCTCCCATAGGGGAGCGGCACTATTAGGAGGTGTGGCTTCACTGGTGTGGGTGTGGCTTTGTGGGAGGAAGTTCGTCACTAGGGGGTGGGCTTTGAGATCGGTGTGTCACTGCCACTTCCTGCTGCCTTCAGATCCAGATGTAGAACTCTCATCTGCTTTTCCAGCACCATGTCTACCTGCACGCCACCATGCTTCCTTGCCATGATGATAATGAACTAAACCTCTGAACTGGAAGCCAGCTCCAATGGAATGTTTTCCTTTAAAAGAGTTGCCGTGGTCATGGTGTCTCTTCATAGCAACAGAAACCCTAACTATGGCAGATACAATAATTTTAAAAAACTTTTGGGACTGAGGTTGCTGTTTAGTGGTAGAGCATATGGAGGCTCTGGGTTCAATCCCCATCATAAACGAGAAAGACAGACTGACTGACAGGTAGGAAAGAAGGAGATGGGGGAGAGAGGGAAGGCTGGAAAGACAGGGAGGGGAGAGGAATGAGACATGGGATGGTGATGAACAGTCGGTTTCAATGGGAACCTGTTGTGCTTGCAAACAGGGTAAGAACTTAATCAGATTTGGAAGACAAGTCCAGGGTGACATCAAAGCTTGGAGTCGGCATCCCTGCATCCCTGCATCCCTGCAACCCTGCTCAGGAAATAATCACATCTACACCACGCAGTTCTCCCCTTTGATGTCTGAAGAAAATATGGAGGTGTCTGATTCCAAGAGAGCTGCTTAGCACATGTCACAGGAATAGAAAATACAGAGCACAATTTCTATATTTACATTGCTAAGAAAAAGGAGTAAGACAAAATGGGAAAAAAAACCATTATAAACCACGTGAAATAAGCAAAGAAAAGCTAGCAACTAAGATTAGATACTTGACACCACTGTAAAACAAGGCTCCACTTGGAAATACATACTTTGTTTATAGGCCAATTACTAGATGCTGAAAACATCAAATGAAAATTAAATAGTTTTTAATAAAAAATAATGTATGGGACATGAAATGACTACATTAACAAATCTTAGGGGAATATATGCATATTAGAAAGGGTGCATTTAGCCGGGCGGTGGTGGCGCACGCCTTTAATCCCAGAGGTGGGTAGATCTCTGTGAGTCTGAGGCCAGCCCGGGGCTACCAAGTGAGTTCCAGGAAAGGCTCCAAAGCTACACAGAGAAACCCTGTCTTGAAAAAACAAAAAACAACAAAAAAAAGAAGGGGTGCATTTAAAAAAAATCAATGACATATTTCCACATGCTATTTTATTATATTTCTAATAGTACTAATAAATGACTAGTTATTTAATTAGCATCCTTAGCCACTGAGACAAGCTACTTATAAAAAGATCTGAACAGGTTGAGTACATCTCAGCTGTTGGTGCACCTGTGTTAGATATCCAACACTGTGATAGGTTTTTTTGTTTTTTGAAATATTTCATCAGAGAAAATCTGGAGTCATCCAAGATTTGAAACTTTCAAAACTTAATCTCAATCTGAATATTGAAAATATCACTTGTCTATAAAACATGCTCTTCCAGCAACATCAGCTATAGATGTCAGCATTCTTTATGCAAGCCCTCTAGTAGACAGCTTTGAAAGTAATACATGATAAAAGTGAGGCCCATGTGTTCTGTGATTTTCCTCCAAAGACAAGAGCTGGTATTCTTTTTTTTTTTTTTTGGTTTTTCAAGACAGGGTTTCTCTGAGTAGCTTTGCGCCTTTCCTGGGACTCACTTGGTAGCCCAGGCTGGCCTCGAACTCACAGGGATCCGCCTGGCTCTGCCTCCCGAGTGCTGGGATTAAAGGCGTGCGCCACCACCGCCCGGCAAGAGCTGGTATTCTTAAAGAGCTAGCATCCACTAACAAGGTAGGAAAGGGCTCTGGACAAAGATTCCCACCAAAATGCAAAGTCTGTTTAATCAAATTCAGTTTCACTGACAATCAATTGAAGTAGGAACATCTCATTCACTTCTTATCAGAGCTTTCCAGTTAATTAAACATAACAGTAAAACTACCCAGCTATTTTGTCAGTATCAAATGGACCATTCTTTTCTGATTCACATGGAAAGGGGTCTATAAAATTTATATAAAAATTAAAAGGCACCCCAAGAGAATTACTGTTTTATATTTGTCCTGGCTTTTATGACATACAATTCAAATAAGAAAGCAATCAAATAAGCTAATGTTTGTTGGTGATCAAATGATGGACTTTGTTAAATGCTATGTTACAAGGGTTTTTTGTTTGTTTGTTTGTTTTGTTTCTTTAAAGAAGCTAAGATGGCATTCTCTAAATACTTCATACAAGATGTCTTCCAAGTTGAAACAGACACAGACACACACAGACACTGACACTGACAGAGACATATACACACAGAGACACAGACAGAGACACACAGAGACACAGACAAACACACACACACACACACACACACAGAGACAGAGAGAGAAGTGCCTATTTAAAAAGCAAAGCAAATTCTTCCCGAATATTTCCTCTTTCAGAACCCGTTCCCTGGAACCATAAAATCAACTCCCAATACTTCTCTTTGCACCCACAGGTAAGCATGGCTCTCACCCCGAGGGAGGCAGACCCTTACAGAAAACAACTGGTGAGAGGCAGGGACAACAGACCGTGGAGGGCCTGGACCCAGTGGATGCGTCTATCACTGCTGCAAAAGGCCCAGGGGTCAGTGCGGAAGAGGGGGCAGAGACCGCTAAGAGTCAGAAGAGCAGGAAGTCCGCTGTGAGGTTGTGTCTCCTAGAAATGACAGAGGAGTTACACCCACGGTGCCTCAACAATATGGCTGCGTGAACAAGACCTGAACATTGACCACGCCAATGGGCATGAAGAACTCTCACAGGCTTCTACCCCTAGACAAAGAACTGGAGAGGAAGATGCAGTTTTCTACAAGGGGGAGCCCCTTAATTGGTTATCCAGTTCCAAGTGTCAGCCCTGAAATCATCTACATAACAAGCAACTCTGCTTAGATTCAGCAGATTGTATTTATATATCTATGCATTCATACATACATGCACCAATAACAAAGGAAGAGGCCTGGTACATGGGAGGGGCTGGCGGGAGGGAAAGAAGAGGGAAAATGATATCTTTATATTTTAATTAAAAAATATTTTTAAAACTGACCCTTGACTTTGATTCTGACTCTGTGTAAACTTTTCTTTTCTCCTTTTGAAGAATTTATCCTGAAAGGGAAAACCATGTTTAGCTGGCCACTTTATGAGATAATAAAATTGAAGGTTTCCCTTTCAATGCCTGAGAATGAGGTGGTAGAATGTGATTTCTCCATCAGGTACAAAGTAAAGAATTGAAAGTACAGTGTAAACACACGCATATCAGGAGACTTCTTTGTAACTGTTACAAAAGCGCGACAGAGGTTTTTATGGTTTTACAGTTAGGATTAGCGCTATAAACTGCCAGAAGGTTCGATCAGGTAGATGATCATATGAGATGTGAATGTAATACTGGGAAGCTCATTCATCTTCGTGATGACTTTTGTGTTAATATTCAAAAGTCAGCAAACACTGAATTCAGCCTTAATACATGGAATAGGCAAACCGTAAGTTACCTTACATGGAAAGACATTAAAACAACAACAAACAAACCCAGCAAAAAAACCCAGCTTGATTCCCTGTGTAGACTCCTGGAGACGCAGGCCCCTGAACCTCAACACGCTCTGCTCAGCGGCTACACAGCTATTCTCGGATCTGTGACACGAGATTTTAGAGAACCTGAAAACCTTCTTAGTGAAAATAGGGCGTCTGGGTGCCAGTGTGCTTACCTTTCCGTCAAATCGCTTTATTATATACTGATCCAGGCCCAGGTCTGAAAAAGAGAGGAAAAAATAATTAGACTCTACTCAGAGCTCACCAGAAACACATGACAGCTCTCAGTTTGGTTTTGTTTGTTTGTTTCGAGACAGGCTTTCTCTGTGTAGCTCTGGCTGTCCTAGAACTCACTATATAGACCAGCCTGGTCTCAAATTCACAGAGATCCACCTGCCTCTGCTTCCTGAGTGCTCGAATTAAAGATGTGCACGACCACCGTCCTGCTCGGTTTTGTTTTAAATTATTCAATTAAATATACTGGAAGGCTCAGCTACAGTATCTATCCAAAGTCACCCAGGAATGATTATTTTGCCCCATTTTCAGACAGTGCTGGCAGACAGATATCAACGTTTGACTTGTGTGAAAGGTGCGGGTCTACCCACCAGACCTCACACTAGCTCACGAACATGGCGCCGGCACCAGAAGCTCTGTCTTGCATCTCTGCTTCTAATAATGATGACCTTGTGAGTGTCTGTCCTGCAGGCCACACAACGAACCCCCTGGGAGTTCTGCTGCACTCCCAGCAACGGGACATCTCAGGTGGGCTTGCTGACTGTCTGTGTCCTCTCATGGAGTGGCAGGAGGT